GTGAAAATAATGTTGTAGAGTGCACACAGATGTACTCTTGTAACTGTTTAATAAATATCGCCAAAAATAAAATTGTAATCAGAATTAACATACCAAATAAAATGATGAAGGATACTGTAACATAGTAGAACTATCAGTGATTACAAATAAAAGAAAAACGTACAGAAAGACAACCACACGATGTGATGCCAGCCACACGTGCCCCTCGGTCACTATTTTCTTATCTCCTATACAGCGTTGCTACATAGCATTCAGATTCAATCCTGTTTTCAGCGAAAATTTTGCGCAAAAAAAATTTTTATCACGGAATGCTTTGTCGCAGTCGCAATTAAGGAATCGCGTGTTGAGTCTGTGTGCTTGAATTCCCAAAATATGTAAGCACATTAATGTACGTGTGTTTTTCCATATCTCGTCAGTGGTGTGTCGAAAATATATCTTCGGGAAGGATTATACTTCCTTCTTCGTGATATTAGAGAACGGTGGAAGGAAGCAAAGTGTTTCGACTTCAGTCGTCAAGAATTTTAGCCTAGGTGAATTACCTTGGCGTTTGTTTTTTAATAAATTCTGCTATAATGCACGAAAATTTTCAACAATATAACTCAGAATTCTCATTATGGAATCTCTGCAATTTTCGGAACACAAAATGAAAATTTTACAAACTGCCGCCCTGTAACTCTGACATTTTCCTACAGCTGATTTCAAATTACTATGTCGAAATTTCCACTATACTGTGACAGAATAGTCCATTACAGCACGACTTGCTGAAAGCACATTTCATAATAACAGATACGCTTATACGCTTATATACATATATATATATATGTGTGTGTGTGTGTGTGTGTGTGTGCGCGTGAGTGCGTGAGTGCGTGAGAGAGAGAGAGAGGGAAAGCGTCGTCACGAGATTGACAGACGTTACGCGGAAACGTACACGCTTGGAGAAACGGAAGCGTTGCTCCGAGATTGACATACATTTCATGGCAGCGGACGGAACAGAGAATAAAAAAGGACAATTAACTGTTCGATTTGGTGATCTATATTCGGTCCGCATGGAAGTTAGTTCAGCGAGAGGTGCTACATACGGGATTCGCCAGACAGACGTCGTTCAGAAGGAGTTCAATGTGTGATCTGTTTTAATTGACTGTAACTGTAAAGAAGTTCCAATAAACCCAGTCATCAAATCCAGAACCCATTATTATTACTCACTCTAACCTTAATACTTGAAAATATTTTCCCTAAGAAGTACTACGATTAACATTTCTATCCCTTCTTATTTCTGACCAGTATTTCCTTTATACAGAACATCCCCCGGGCAGCCGATTAACAATCTAGTTATTTCTTGTCGTTACAGAAATTAAAATTTTATTTTATCCCATCTTGAGATAGTTTTTCCTTCCAGAACCTGTCTACTATGTAATCCTTAAGCTATTAAACTCTCTTTTTAAATGAGTTTTTAAGCCCCAAAGGAAGAGTACAAATCGAGCTTCTCTGAAAGGGAAGGTTGTGGAGAATACTTGGACCAGGCAGGGAAGAGCAACGGGATTGATATAAGCGTGTAGTGAATCATGAGGATGTGTGGGCATGTAGCATGTATACGGGGCTGAGAAAGCAACAGAAAATTAGAGTGGAAAGGCTGATATGAAGAGGTGTTCTGATGGACTTAGATGGACGTGGAGAGATAATATTAAAAACGTTTTAGAAACATGTTCTTAGGTTATAAGTGTGTAGACTGCATCTGAATAGTATTTAGTAATAGAGTTGTGTATTTAGTGTTCAGCTAAGGAGATACCTGAATCTTAAGAAGGATTTCTCATTTTATAAGTACGAAGAAGTTGAACTTTTATCTCGGAGAAAGAGTTTCGGACATGTCTAATAGTCTTTCATAGTACTACATACATTTCTAATCCTGCAGTTCCATTACCGTAACTATTGTAGCATTATCCAAGTTTTTTAAGAAACCTTACTTAAGCAGTCTACAGGATCCGCTTGCCATAAATTTATTAGATAAAACTTAATAATTTAGCATTGTCGCCATTTTAGTAATCGTTGACATAAAAGTAATATTCACACATGATATGAAGAAGTCTGACCGCCTCTGTGGTCTAGTGGTCAGCGTTCGATTCCCGGCGCTACCAGATTTATTCTGAGAAATATTGGGTCTGGAACGGGGTCAGCCTCGTGATGATAATTGAGGAGCCATTTCAAAGAAACAGCGGCTCCGGTCCAGAAAACCGAAATTAATGGCCGTGGAGACTCGTTGGCTGACCACGCGACACCCTCTATCTGCAAATTTGGCACTAAACTTCTCCGACAAGCGGCGGTCGCTCGGTCGGTATAGTTCGCTTGTGGACTAAAATCACGGAGTTTGTTTTGATATGAAGAAGTGTGTACGGACCCACAAAAACAACAACAACACACACAAAGACACACACACACATTGAAAGCGTAGTGGCAACATTAGGCCTATTTCAAAGTCTTTCCATAAGGGAATGAAGCAGAATACAAAGTGTGTATTTATTACGGCAGCTGATGTCAGAAATCTGCATCTCGAGTTTTGGGACCATCATAAACTAAATAACAAAATTGTTCTTGTACATATCTAATTAAGCACTACGCCATGAGGGAGCATGTCGGGGTGGATATATAGATCGGCGTTTTCTTGACCTCGCAATCATGCGCAGACTAAATATTTCAAACTGGACTCAGAATTTTGACTGGCGCTGCGTGTGCCTCTTGTTATTAACTCTTATTATTTGTACCCACTTACTTTAAACTGTTTCAGAATTCTCGGTGCTATGGCAGAGAAAGCAAAGCCAGGGAAGATCTGAAACATTTTGCATGAATGTATTTTTAAATAAAACAGCAGTAAGCAATTCCGTTACAACTACAAAATGATATAACGGGGTAGTTAATAAATGAATTGACTGATTGATTATAGGTTTGTCGTTTCATAATTCATTAGGAACACAGTATCACCTTTGATAATAATTGCATAAAATATACATATTTCAAATATTGTAACTCACAGTCTCATATAACAAGAATATTAGAAGTTAAAATTACTAGTTTCGGTCCGTCACATCCTTAAAGATAATGGTGAGCATATTATCCAAATGTTTAAATATTAAAGGCCCTGGATTTTGCCCACAATGTACAATTATGATTTGCAGAATAAATAACGATTACTCCTCTGAATAACATTAACAATTTGGTCTCTGTAACGGAGACCCGTTTTGATTTTCGTGTGATGGAAGCTGAGTGTTTCAATATTATTTAGAATAACTTCAGGCTACAAAGGTTTAATAGTGCAGGAAGGAGTACGTATATTTGGAAAATAACGAAACAGAATGTCTCAGGGAAACTTTGGCTCAGAAACCATTTATCATAACAAGTTAATACTGAAATGCAAGGCTGAGGCAAAACGAGCTTTCAACGGGAATTCAGCTATCCTATAGGCTTGCATAGGCCTGTTACGGTAGCCGAGATGTCTCAGGCATGCACTGTCTTCGCTCGCTCGGAAGCTGGGATCGTGGGTTTGAATCCTATCAGAGCATGGATGTTCAGTGTTTGTGTGTGTGCGCGCGCGCAATTTTCTGTGTTGATGTATAGGGAGGGACCTTGCGACAAGGTGATAATCACCCTCCCAAGGAATCCTACCAAATGTCTAAGATATAGTAAACCGAAGTGAAACGGGGAATTTCGTGGAGGTAGGTCAAGGCCAAAATTGAGGCTGTAGCGCCAAAGGAAAAAAAAAAATAGGTCTGCATAATTATTTTAAGTAACTGTATAAAAATGCTAATATAACGAAAATAATTTAATTAGATAAATAATAACTTTATACCATCAGATTTAAGAATACAATTTATTAGTTATGATGGACTGCAAATAAGCAAATATAGATCCCCTATGCAAAATTTCTTTCATCGAAGTGATTACTATAGGTTCGTAATACGATCCTAGCATGACGAAAATTAAGACATTTTCTATAAGAGTCAGTTGGATTACATATGTGTTTTTATCCTTTTACATGCTGCAGAGGATATTCCTCTCTCAGGAATATCAGCTAGCTCTGTTCCGAAAAGATGATCATTATCACGTGAAAGAAGAACTAAGTCTTCCAACTTCCCTTCGACTATTTAAATTACAGTAAAACTTGGTTATAGCAACATCGGTTTCTGCGACACCTTGTCTATTGCGTCAAATATTCAATGGTACGAACTAATTCCTCATAAAGCAACTGTTTTCATACCTTGCTTAGTACGACATGCACAAATGCATCAACCTCGTATGTAACGTCATTTTCATTCCTGAATTTCTCTGATATGGACATTGAACGTAATTTAGAAAGTGTATATTGGGCAAGTAACAGGAAACAGATGAAGATAACTGATTACTGTACTCGTATCTAGGTACAGTAAGGCACAACAATTGATGTAATCTACTGTAATTTGGTGAGTAGGCCTACCTTTAATATACAGTATTAGTGCGGTGTGTATTGTCAGTGAAAAGCGCTGTAATATGTCTTTGATATTACACATTTGGGCAATTCCACGTTAATGTTACGTTAGTCTGTACTTAACTACGTATTTCACAAAAAATGCAACATTTTAACTCGGTTTTTGGTAGATTTTTACGTGACTAACATAAGGCTACTGTGGAAGTGCCCATTTCGGTTACAACGACATTCGTTTATAACGACACTATTTTTAGGTCCCTTTGATGACGTTATAACCAAGTTCTACTGTATTTGATCGTTTCGTTGCGTCAAAGTATGTCCTTGTTACCACGCGCTACGCACATGCACATATGCATATTTACAAGAAATTGTACGTATTTTTTAAATTCAGAATAGAAGGAGCCAGATACCAGAATATTACCTTGGTGTTATGTGTGACTGAATATATGTGTTTAAATAGAAGTTAACTTTCTTAAACACTTTCACTAGAATTCCCCATTTCTTGGTATTGTTGGCAGTGAGCGTAGTTTTTGCATCCGTTCCGCAGGCATCTTCCTGTCGCTGGTCATCTTCCTGTCTATCGCGGGCAACATCCTGGTGTGCGTAGCCATCTATACGGACCGCGCCTTGCGACGCATCGGCAACCTGTTTCTCGCGTCGCTTGCCATCGCAGACCTGTTCGTGTCCAGCCTAGTGATGACTTTCGCCGTGGTGAACGACTTACTGGGCTACTGGATGTTCGGGGCGCAGTTCTGTGACACCTGGATCGCGTTCGATGTGATGTGCTCCACCGCATCCATCCTCAATCTGTGCGCCATCTCCCTGGACCGGTACATCCACATCAAGGACCCACTGAGGTAACTACTGGCTTAGTGGAAGGAACCGACTCTGGTCTTCTGAATGTAGGCCTGCTAACAAAGACTTTAGCTGGAAGTCTGGACAGATGGCAACCGGACGGATAATGGCAATCGGTCCATCCGAATACAGAGAGGGAACCAATCAACTTAGATATTCGGCTGCGATAGTATGCGTAGTTCAGGATCCACGCCTTCTCGATCTCAAGCTCTGGCGAAGGCGCTTGGGCACATCCTGCCTCTGGCCACAGTATTCCTCTAGTTCTTGCGTGAGGCAGTCGAGTAGCTCAGTCAGTACAGTGGAAGGTTCTGGGCGGCCGGCGTCCGCTTCCTTGTTGAAACAGAGACTCTGTCCCCCACTGCATCCACACTGACGATGGAGCCACCCAACTTCTGGTGTGATGAATACCGGGTCCATTCGCACTTGAGTAATGCAACCGGGAAGTGAACCTTGCCGAGTTTATGAATGCATGGAATTTTATCTCCACTCGTCCACGAATCTTGACGACATGAATTTAACCACAGTGTCAAATTAACAGTTATACCTTCTTATGTAGTATGTACGAGAGAGAACTGTGATGGAGAAATAATTGATCTCGACATTTTGTAGAATTTTTGCTATCACGTTTTTGGGTGTCTATAGACGGGGTTTGGATTGATAATTGGATTCATTGAACACTTACTGATCGTAACTACACTTAGCAATACCGTTGTTGCTAATTCGAGTAAAGCGCGTACTAATTCTTATCATTCTGCTGTGTCTTCAGCAATAATTGCCTGGTGACGAATCCAACAATGTCCTCTGCTTCCATGCTCACCTTCTTACCGGCAACTAACTCATTGCTTCAATTTTACTGATTATAACATCTCAGCGAGGACCGCACAGCGAATACCGTTCTTCTGTTGCCGTTCAATTATTGTTTAGCGTACAGAGCATAAAACACAAAACCTTTGTTGTCGTTTGCGGGCAACTGCCTAGAAACGGTCGCTGTACAGTTGCGTATCTCGCGGTCGCCGCCTAGCAACGGGTCTATATGCCAGAATAAGTTTTCATTATATCTGAATGTGAAAAAGCAGTGCAGCATAAGAAGACATTCTCACGCTGAAATAATAGATCCCGTTATATTGAACAATTAATTTTCACATTCCCGGGGTATGAAAAAGTGATTTGTGGAGTTCCGTCTGTGTGCACGACGCTCCACATGTATGTCTCTATAAATATGATGTTCGCTAGCTTTCTGACTATTGGACGGACGTCATGCATACTTGGAATCATATAGGGTTCACCTACCCAGTTTTTATCAATGTCATTCGGAGTGTATATTTAATTTTGAAAATGGTCCTGAGCTTGAAACGGTTCCCGATGTGTCTGAATTTCTCGGAAATATCCTTAACTTATAGAATAATGATTGTGCCCTGAAGAAAGTCGATGGCTTCATTACGGAGTCAACGAATTCTTTTGGATATTTATTAAACATTAGATCGTGTCTTATGTTATTATTTTCGTTGCAGAAATTCTTCTGATCCTGATATACCTGAAGACGGAGACAGAATTCAGCCTTCAAAACTTTATGTTGTTAAATAAAAAGAGNTAATGACATGGGATGCTGCATACACACCGCTTCATCTACTGAACATCTTTAACCCGTCCAGTTTTTATCAATGTCATTCGGAGTGTATATTTAATTTTGAAAATGGTCCTGAGCTTGAAACGGTTCCCGATGTGTCTGAATTTCTCGGAAATATCCTTAACTTATAGAATAATGATTGTGCCCTGAAGAAAGTCGATGGCTTCATTACGGAGTCAACGAATTCTTTTGGATATTTATTAAACATTAGATCGTGTCTTATGTTATTATTTTCGTTGCAGAAATTCTTCTGATCCTGATATACCTGAAGACGGAGACAGAATTCAGCCTTCAAAACTTTATGTTGTTAAATAAAAAGAGGCCGATATTTTAGATAAAAACAGGACGATAGCTACTGTCCAGAAACATAATATTTGTCACAATTTTGGAGCTTTGGTTCTCTTGTGTTAATAATTTCCAAAGCAATGTCAACGCACACAGTGCTAATTGGAAAATAATATGTAACAAGTTTAATATATCAGGAGAGTAACTGACTCTTGTATTTTGTCGCAGATATGGACGCTGGGTGACAAGAAGGGTGGCTGCGGGGTCCATCGCTGGCATATGGTTGCTTGCGGCTCTAATCTCATTTCTCCCCATCTCCTTGGGCCTCCACCGTCCTCCTCAGCCACTCGTATACCACGCAGGTGACACTGAATACCCCACCTGTGCCCTCGACCTGACGCCAACATACGCCGTCGTCTCGTCCTGCATTAGTTTCTACTTCCCGACGCTGGTGATGCTCGGCATCTACTGCCGCCTCTACCTCTACGCACAGAAGCACGTTAAGAACATACGCGCAGTTACGAGGCCGCTCACTGCTTCTTCAGCCACCACCAACTTCGGTGCCACTATGGACTCAAATTCGCCCACTCACTCCACATCTTCTAAACATGCTCTTGCCAACAAGGTGCAAATGCATCACCAGTCCTCCCCGTATCATGTGTCGGACCACAAGGCTGCCATAACCGTAGGCGTCATCATGGGTGTTTTTCTGATATGCTGGGTACCCTTCTTCTGTGTGAATATCGTGGCCGCTTTCTGCAAGACCTGCATACCCGGCATTGTATTCAAGATACTTACGTGGCTGGGCTACTCAAACTCGGCCTTCAATCCTATTATTTACTCCATATTCAACACGGAGTTCCGTGAAGCGTTCAGGAGGATTCTGACAGCGCACTATCCACCTTGGTGTTGCGATGGCAAGTGCGGCTACGAAGCTGTCAGTGGAAGATCTTCTCTTGGTGGGGGAAAAAGAAGAAGTGCTGGTGATGGAGGGGAATTTGGAAGCCTGAGGGGAAAGAAAGGACTAGGAAGTGGTTTGGGTTGCACTCCAAGGCACAATGGTTCTTGCACACAGCTTAAAGAAAGCAGCAGTCCGAGAAGTTCTGCTGGATCAGTAGGAACTCTGAGACAAACTAGAGTAAACTCCGCAGACAGGGATATTATAGAGGGAGAAGAAATAAGTGCAATATGACTGCAGTTAAGTCGCGACAGTGAAGTACATAATCTTGGAAGATTGAACATTTCTTATTCCTGTTGATGCAATACGTCAGATGCCAGAAGGAGATCACAAGAGACTTACTCTCTGTTCATTAAGAACAATTAGATACACTGTGTTATTTTCATAACACTGATAGTTATGCTCACTACTGCAGGCAGATCGCACCCACGTTATATTAGAGTTGTAAAGGACATAATTATTAGTGTAACAGTGTTTGTGTGAGTGTAAATTTTTCATGAATCAGGACCACATTTTACGTAACACACTTCGTCTTTCCATTTTGAGTGACTGGGTTCTGTGGTCCCAGGTTAAATCTAGAATTAACCAATTCCTGATCCCGAAAGAGAATGAAAGTGAGGAGTTTCATATTTCAATTGGAGACATGTAGGTATCCAATATTTCTGAACTTTTTTAGGTTGTTTTTGTTTTTTATTTATTACGTACTCGTATTACAGTGAATAAGCATCTTACGTTGCTACCACCCAGAATTGAAATTTAATTGGCAATTGTAACACTGGTATGGATTATATTCTCAAATAATCTTGAATAATATTGTTACAAATACATAAAATTCGGCATTTTATGCTTATAATCACACAATTGTATTTCGTAAAATGTGCCAAAAGTATATGAAAAGTAAAAACCCTTACTTTCATTTATTTATATCAGGTATGAAGTTGTTAGACTTCCCCTGATCGTGCTGTTTAGTGCTTCATATACCGAAGTACGTGTTTTGCAATGTCAAAGTACAATGTTAAGTAACGCCTTAGCCTTTCTTTTGCATTGCCTCTCAGACTGTTATATACAGAATTACTGACTTTTTTTACTTTCTCCATCTTCCGGAATTCTAGGCAGTACAGGACACGACGTTTCGGAAACTGAATCTATTTCCGTCTTCAGATGAGGAAGGAAGACACCTACTCAGTGGGGCCCCTTGGAAAGAGCTAATCTCAATCACTGGACCCAGTAATTCTGTGTGTCATCACCAACATCAGAACCTTTCAGAATCTATACTGTTATATCCAAGAAATTCGTAAAATGTGTTTATCTGCGTTTCCCAGGATTTAACAGAGTACATCAATATATCTATTTCTTGCAACAAAATTTGATTCGATGTATTTTCCTCTTCATTGCAGGATAAAGCAAACACATAATTTTAGAGAAATACTTAAAAAACACAGAGGGAAATACGTTTATCAGAGAAACATAGATGTATAAATTTGCGTGAAATAATTCAGCTTGAATTTGAGCCGCGAAACATGCGGATATGGTAGATGGCCTGTATAAACCCACGGTTAATCAAACAACCAGAATTGTATAATACATTTTCTTATTGCTACTGGGTGGGACTAATTCCTTGCACTGCGGTCACTTCAGGCCTATTGTACCAGCACCAAATGATAGGTGAGGGTGATTGTGGAGCAATTGGTGGAATGAAGATTGGCAGGGGAAACCCAAGTACTCGGAGAAAACCTGCCCCAGCGCCACTTTGTCTACCACAAATCCCACTTGCAGACCCGGGATCGAACCCGGGCCGCCGCGGTGGGAAGCCAGCGACTAACCGCTTGAGCTTTGGCTCGGCCTGTGTAATATATAAATGATGCAAAGTAAAGTACCTAAAAGGACGGGGCATGATTCGGACACTGAATATTATTTCTTTTGTACAGGCAAAATAATAATTTTATATTTTTATTTTATTCCTTCTCATGAGTTTCATGTGGATGAAATAGCAAAAGTGAATTATTCCGGATACTTTCAATAAAACATTTTTCTCATAGATGCTGAAACCTAAATCAAACCCGCTCATCCTCTTCGTCGCCTCAACGGGCGGCTCCATGCTTCAGCAAGAGTTAGTGAGCACCAGAAATAAACATTCTTTCTGTGTCCTGTGTTAATGTGGTGGCAGACCTTATACCAACTCTCATTTAATTATCTTCTTAGTGCCTAAGGTAGGCCACGCACCGGCATGCGTCAAGACATGTAACAGTCAAGACACGATGTCTGCGACATGACGCAAAGAAAGGAGCACAGTTGAAAGGAATGAGATTATGAAAATCTCCGCACAACCGTCTGAGTCATGATGCTGACGTCAGCTTCATGCTGACGAATTACGAATGAGGCAAGACTGCACCCTTTGTCTCATGTCTTGATGGTTGTCTTGACACAGTTCATATGTGGCCACCCTAAGACTTTCATTACCGGTTCTACAGGTGAACGTTAGAACATGCCAAAAAAAGAACTCCGTGAGTTTAGTCCGCAAGCGAACTATACCGACCGAACGACCGCCGCTTGTAGGCGATGTTTAGTGCCAAATTTTGCGGATAGAGGGTGTCGCGTGGTCAACGCAAAGAATCCCCACGGCCGATAATTTCGGTTTTCTAGACCGGAGCCGCTCCTCAATTATCATCACGAGACTGAGTGGACCCCGTTCCAGACCCACTACTTCTCAGAAAAAAATGGTAGCGCCGGGAATCGAGCCCGCACCTCTGAATCTGTAGCCAGAAACACTGACCACTAGACCACAGAGGCGGTCAGAATATGTAATATACTCGTAATTTCCATCTGTGAGGTGAGACTTCCCTGAGCTGACCTTTGTGACGGGTACTGTTATTTGAACCGTGAGTAGATTGACAGATGATGTTTGTGAAATCATTTATTTTACTCATATAATTTATTTTTGATAACGAAATTTCTTCGATTACAATAGAAAATCTGGATTCGTACCCAAGAAATATTTCGCCGTATTTGTTACATCAGATTCCTGCAACAGAGCAGGTTACATCGGCGATGAAGCTTCCATCTTGTGCCACAGATATGCCCTTTTCTAAATAAGGCTTCAATGCCAACTGTCTAGAGTGATCTCTTTGAATTTTAAGCCTCTGTGTTCTAGTGGTCGGAGTTCTTGGCTACAGATCAAGAGGTCTCGGATTCGATTCCCGGCGCTACCAGATTTTCTGAGAAGTAGTGGGTCTGGAACGGGGTCCACTCAGCCTCGTGAGGATAATTCAGGAGCTATTTGAATTGAAAAGTAGTGGCTCCGGTCTAGGAAACCGAAATTATTGGCCGTGGGCATTCGCTGCGCTGACCACGTGAAATCCTCTATCCACTAAATTTGGCACTAACTTCGCCGACAAGCGGCGGTCGCTCGGTCGGTATAGTTCGCGTGCGGACTAAAGCCACAGAGTTTAGTCTCTTTTAATTCCTGACAATTTTTGAAATTGTTGTTCTTTGATAAGGTTCACAAGTTACTTGCCCTGGATCATCCTCCATTCTGCGTACTTCAGCGATTTACTGAGCCCTCTTTCCAATTAAGGTGACATTATCATTCTTTGTGAAATAACCCTTAAATCAATTTGCACCCCTCTTCTCTCCCATAAATGCTGACGATCTCCAAATCAGCCTGTTTTCAAGGAATACATTATGGAAGGATTACAATTTAGGTTTCCAGCAGGCTGTCACTTGTCTCCTTTGGGAAGGGGGATTACTTTTGATATTTTAAGTGTTTTAAAGTAACTTATTCCATGTTTATTTCTACTAATCAAGTCGAAGTCAAAGTGAAAGTCACATTGCGGCTGACGGTCAGTCATTCAGTAAGTCTTGATGTCGAGCCCCATCTGGGGTTCATTACAAGATATTAATTTTTACCGTTTGACAGTTACCGTCTTGTTTCTGTGGAGCACCCTCTCTGACGAGAGGACGGGTCTTTCTTTTGTATATACTGGTGACCCTTGCCAGCGCAGTCTTTCTCGGTTCCGAGTCCTTCGGGACTCGCGACCATATTTTATTGTCTCAGATTTGAGACTTCCTTTTTCGTCGCCTCCTACGATTCGCAGGCTCACGGTGGAGGTATTCGACCACACCTCCACACGGGGTTTATATCTACTAATCGTATTCAAGCATAAATAAGCGACGGCGGCATGTACAGTTCTCTTCTCCAGGGTTCCTGGACCGGATTAGAGACGAAGCAAATCTCTCATCGAATGGCGCCGGGGACTCCGTCCCCATGGGTGAAACGGCTGAGGCGTAAAGCCGACACTCATTTTCACTTAGTGCTGAGATCAAGAAATGCTGGAGTTACACCTCACTTCTCCACAATTCTTAGGGAATTAAATTAAGACAGGAATAACTTCATCATACTGCTGCACCCAGAAAAATGGAATAATACTAATTAAGGGCTCTTTTATTGGGTTTGATTTAGGTTCTCACACCTGCAAATATAAAGGTTTGGTCCCCTCGTACCATCCGCTTCATTGGCTTTACTTGCACGGCTTATCCTTTGGCCCTGAAGATGGAAGCTCTATATCCTTCAACATTTCGATAAAATTATACCAGACTACATGATGTCACATACCACAAGACGCTCTGTTTTTCGTTTTTAAGTAGGTTGGATATGGGCCTAAACACCAAATTGCAAGTATTACCGGGGGGGGGCACTGTGCTACAAGCCGGAAGGTCGCGGATCGAATCCCGAGGAGGTCATTGGATTGTTTTCAATTTATCTAATTCTTCCAGCCGCACTATGGCCCTGGGGTCGACTCTCTAACAGAAATGAGCACCAGGAATATTCTTGGAGGTAAAGGGCGGACGGCGCGTAAAGCTGACAACCTTACTGCCATCTCTGAGCTGATTGTCTAGAAAATGCGAGAACCTCAACATCTCACAACCCTATGGGCCTCCACGGCCTGTTACAGGAATAACTTTACTTTACTTTCCGGGTCTGAAGGTGACACTTGTTCTTAACCTGGGCACAAGATGGATGTGAGTGGCCAGCTTTATGCTGTAGCCGCCATATTCACAGGCAGATTGGCCTGTTTACGTGTTGATTAAGAAAATAAGTGGACTGGGACAATTAGATGGCATTCATTGCGAAGAGATTTTGAGATCTGAAATGTTGTGTTTTGTTCAATTCTGTTCTACATAGTTATATTATATTATATTATATATTATCATATAGTTTTAGTTATATTAAATGTTTCTAAGACTGAAAATGAATTCTTCTAATTCCGACTCTTCAACGGACTGTGGATATAAATTATAATCTCGTTCGTAGAAAAGAAACTCTTGAGAAAAATAAAAATGAACCATTAATGATTTTTACTGTTGTACTTTAAAGAAAGGATTAGACGTTCTGTTTAAATTGCAATATTGGTCTTCGGCTGTTTTAAAAATCTGTATGAAACAATTATCCGAATTTAAAGAAAGTTACTTCACGTGTCCTGTTGTTCATTAGTTAATGTCACAAAAATTAAAACTGAATTCATATTTGGCATTGATACGAGTATAATTTTATATTACATTCTGCAAATAGTACTTAAACAGTAAGTAAAATAAAGGCCGCCATAGTTCAAGCGGTTTGTCACTGGCTTCCCACCGCAGCGGCCCGGGTTCGATCCCGGGTCTGGTCAAGTGGGATTTTTGGTAGACAAAGTGGCGCTGGGGCGGATTTTCACCGAGTACTTCGGTTTCACCTGTCAATCTTCATTCCACCAATTGCTCCACAAACACCCTCACCTATCATCTGGGGCTGGTACAATTGGCCAGAAGTGGCCGTAGTGCAAGGGACTTAGTCCCACCCCACTAACAGTAAAAAAGAAGTAAAGTAAATGTATCCCTGTAACAGACCGTGGATTCCCCTAGGGTTGTGAGATGTTGAGGTTCCCACATTTTCTAGACAATCGGCTCATGGATGGCAGAAAGGTTGTCAGCCCTACGCGCCGGCCACCCTTTATCCCTAAGAATATTCCTGTTACTCATTTCTGTTAGAGGCTGATTCGACCCCAAGGCCATAATGCGGCAAGAAAGTACTTAAACAGTACTGAATATTTTTCGGAGACACGTCACACAATCTCCAGTAAGCTACATGATGTCA